AAAATTAGTTAATAGCATGATCTAACATGATTGCATCGCTGTAGGTACCTTCATCATTTGTGCATCACATCGGAAAGGTGATAAGTTTGGATTCCTTTGCCTACATCCCATGATAGAGAAAAGGTATAGCTTCAGAGTGAAGAGCCCAGTATCTCCAGCAAAGAATATGTGAAGTCAAGAAAGATGTTTTTTATGACTCATACGTGCACTCGTAAGGATCAATGTGTAATTAATAGTTTTTGATGTGGATTTACTTCAATTCATCATATTTGTAGGGACCGTTGGCAAGTTGTTTGTTCTTTCAATAAAGAACAATACTATTGTCTTCTTTGTTTCCCTCCATTACAAACTTAGAAAGGAAATGAAGAAGACGATAGACTTTAAGTATATTTGTGCAAAAATATTTAATATAATTTACACTAAATATTTTAATTACTAACTTGGTGATCTTGATCATAGAATAATGAAAAACATATCAAAATGTGGTCCCATAGAAGCACAGATATGAGCTCAAGGATCCTATGTGGATTGAGCTAAAGGTGATGTATACTTTCTGAATATGTTCAATACTAAGATTTCTTATTATTTCTTATGATTTGTTCTTATACAGAGCCGTAGACAATCAATGAAGGTGAACTTGTGAGCTTATATATTATGAGACACATGCTCAACATTATCACATTGGGCATGATTGAATTTATAAAAGAGGTAAATATATTTTTAAAAGTTTTATTTTATTATATTATTTGAGAGTACTTAATAAGCACTTTTACAAATTATATTTTTAGATGTTTGACAATTCAGATCCATTTTCTGAAGCTAAAATTGGAAAGACATTTGCATACGTTGGGCAACTTATTTTAGGAAGAATTTGTGAGTTTTTTGTATAAAGTTTTATACAATTTAAGAAGTTTGTTAGTTGTTGATAAATTTTAAAAATATTTGTTGACACAATAGTTAGTTTTGGATAACTCAATAGTTTTTAGATAGTTTTATAGATAATTTTAATTTTAATAGTTGTTAATTTAATTTTATATTAAAAATTGTAAACAAATTGTGCTGTTTGGCTTGGCTGTGGTAATTTTTGTGTACAAAGTAGGGTAAATTTAAAAAAATACACTTTTTATTTTAAAAAATATATATACTTTTTACAGTGGTTATTGCCATAACTGGCATAGAAATTACTATTCTACATCGATTAATGTAATAACTGATGTAGAATATTAAACTTTCTACAGCAGTTGGTTCTGAAATTAGTGCAGAAAGTAGACTTTTTACATTGGTTGAATATGAAACTAGGGTAAAAAGTAAACTTTTTATAGTAGTTGGGACTACAACCGATGTAGAAAGTGTTTAGTTTTTTTTATTTTTAATTCGTGAATCCATTTTCTACATCAATTATGATTAGTCAATGTAGAAATATATTTTTTTACAGCAGCCATGTAACTGATGTATGTAACACATTGTCTATTTAACAACTGTAAAAAGTTATTCTTAACCACTATGAAAAGCCATTTTTGTAGTAGTGCTTCTAGCAGTGCTTGACTAGTTACTTATCCTCGTAGATTGTATGTCTACACTTGATTAGTTATTTACCCTCATGGACTATGTGTGTCATTCATTCTAATAAAGCCCTCCTAGATTTAAATTAAAATTTATTATTTTTTGTATAACTTCTTTAAAAGGATTTTATCAAATGGTACCAGTACTTGAGACAGTTACATTCTATGACCTGTACAAATCTTGATAAATCTATATCGTTTTATTAGTATTGTTTAATTTCATAATTGTACTATTGAAAAAGAATTGTTCTTTATTTTTAGTTCAAGTACATGCTTCAATGTTTGATGATATTGTTTTAGATTAAATCTATTAGTTCTATCTTCAAAATGTTTATGTAAAATTTTAATTGTAATGCTACTCACCAGTAATTTTTGTCTCTATATTGTAGCTGGCCCTGCGTCTCCTATTGACCATTGAGGGCCTTTCTTGCTTTTTGGAAAAAGAAATTACATGGTGATTATTCTTTTTGGTGAAACCTTGTATTTTGTAAATTATAAGTTCGTGCTCCATGTACCCATACTTAAATTCTAGTCTTATTTTGTTATTGTGAAAATTGCTAGAATGGAGCTAGTCTCTTAGCTAGTCTGTTGGCAAGTTCTGTTGTTGTTGTTGTGGAAATTTTGGAAATCATTGAGAAGATTATGCTAAAATTTCTACAAAAATTTTAAAACTTTACGACCTTTACTATTATATATGTAAGTTGCATATATCGCTATTTTAACTTAATTTCTAGTAATTAAGGCTTATGAAATGTGAGTTTACTTCATATTTCATGCCGATTATACTCTTAATATCGGGGTGTGAGAGTTATGCCTATAAGTTATGCCCAGAAGGGTATGATTCAGGCATTTGAGTTTTTTTTAAACCTTAAAAAGAAAGTTGGTTTGGGGGGTTGGAATGTAAGAAAATATTAGATTGCTCTACCCTCCTCGCTCATGGGGTTGACTAGTCTAATTCAAATTATTCCCAGGTCACCCAAGTCAACTTCCAAAAAATAAAATCACCAAACGGACTGAATACATAACCACTTCACTGAATTATCTAGTTTGGTTTTTCATGGCATGAATGCAACTACTTAAGAGTCTAACAAGCATACCTACATATTTTTATTACTTTTGTTATAGTTCAATGTCTTATGATCAATTTGTCTATTATTTTTCATTTGCTAGCTTAACAAAGGTGCTGCAGTTTGTTCTCAACAACAAATACAAGGTGTTTAGCAATGGGATGTAAAACTTTATGGGGGATGGTTTTGTGTTCACAGCCCTTGGATAGATAGGGAAAGAAGCACATAAAAGGTTTCTACAACCAAGTTGGATTTCTATCAACTAGTTCACGACCTTTTGTTCGAGCTGTTGCATAATTTAGATGTGTTTCTTTTGTTATGTCTACGTACTCTTTACCATTGTGTTGATCTTGCAGGTGTCTGGTTATCCTTTTCATTTACAATAATTTTTTATGTCTTTGATAAGGTTGATGTTGCAGCAAGACTGAAGGGTTTCATTCCATGCATTGCAAATTTTGACCAGTTGTTCTTGCACTTATGTCAAGTTCCACACAGGTTATCTTACGCTTGTTAGGCAGGTGTCAGTAGCTGACTTTTTTAGGCCACACTTTCAACTTCAGGATTGCTTTGTCTCCCTATTGTATGGAGTCTTTCCATTGCTTATCACATGGATTCCACCATCACTCTTCTGCATCTCAACCAGATAGTATTTTCAGTGTTGTGATGTATTTGTGTGTAATTGCATGTTTGTTACTTATTTTTCTCTGTTACCTGTTGCTTTCTTCTCTAGCGTTATTGGCCCAAGTTGTTCTGGTTATCTAGGAAGCTGAGCTTTTTATGTGATTTTATTTTCCAACAAAATTTGATCTTTTTATTATAAAAAAGGGCTCTAATCAACAGTCCGATCGTTCATCCAATTTTTGAAACAATGCAAATCGAAGGGGAATAATAGAGTAGTAAAGTAGCTTGTATTTATGTAACTGCTTGTCAGTACACTTAATTAAGGTCAAGTCTTGACCATGAGGCTCTGTGTGTGTGTATATATATATATATGTATATTCTATGCTCTGTCATTAATGAGATAAAGATCATTCACTCCCATCTTGCGCTCTCATTCTTTCTTGTCCTTCTATATCTTCTTTATTCTGACTTTATTCACATGGCAAAGATATTTACATTACACACATCTAGTTTTAATGTGGCAGCTGTTCCTATTTATCATATCCATTATAGGGTAACTTATAATATTGAGCATAGAAATAGCAAACTCTGCTACCCAAACAAAAAAATTAAAATATATTAACTATTGTAGTCTGCTTGTGGCCATTTTCAACCTTGCAATTTAATTAGCCAACCTCGATTAGGATCATTCGTCTCCTCTTTCTTATATAGACACGTAGCCCATATCTATGAGAAAATATATTTCCATATATAAACCACAAATAGTAGTATCTTCTTTCAGAATCACCATTAGGAGTCTTCACAGTAAGCATCTTAACACACACACACACATTGCTGAAGATAGCACATGATTGCATCAATTAGACCTCAGCAGTGTTATGAGGAATGCATGTTGTTCTTGATTCTGGGAGTCCAATGAACAAGTTAGTTTCCACATCTAAAGTTGGAATATTTTCTGAGAAGGTTGGATTTTCGCTTTTATTCTCTGTTGTTGTCTGATGATACAGCTCGATACCATACTGCACAGTAAAATATTCACTTACAAACTGATGAAATAATATTACGAGCATTATTTTATAGGTTTGACAAAAAGCACAGTGTATATACCTTTTCACAGAGCCTTGCGTTTTCTGCTGTAAGAGTTCGTTCCTGTATTGCAACAATACGAATCAGCATTTTGTGGCATTAAATCTTTCCATGGAGTCAAATTCATATATATACATATCTATGTAAGAACATCTATCAATTTGAAACCAACTGATTTTAGATCCAGAGACACCTATGAAGTTGCCACCTAATGGGCTAATGAGGTAGCTTGATGGGTAGATATTAAAAAAAAAAAAAAAAACACAATGATTAGATGTAGAAGTAGAACTACATTATTTTTGTGAATGTAGAGTAGATTTCCATTGAAGTAGAACTGATTTAGAAAGTTAACAAAAATTTCTTCTTCTTTTTTTTTTTTTAAATTTCTTACAGATATCACAACAAGGACAAGAAAATTAAAGGGAAAATATCATCTGAGGACCCTTGAAGAAATTTTATATCAATTGAGAAACTTAAGATTATGATATTGCATTACAACCCCATGATACTTATCTAAAAATAAAGTTTTATGAGAAAATACATAATTACCTCGGTTAATGAAAAGACCAAAAATTTGTTGTTAATAAAAAATAAATTGTTATCAAAACCTGAATAAATATTTATTTATACAGAATTAACACCTGCTCAATTCAATATGTTCTATCAGCTTTTATAATTTATTCATTTTTAAATGGATTGTTAATTATGAATAAATTGTTGTCAAAACCTAAAAGGTTTTTATTTAGAACTTTAGAGGTAATTAGATCTTTTTCCATAAAAACTTATTTTCACATAAGTACCATGGGGTGCAATGTAATATCAGAACCTTAAGGTCCTTGACTAATATAAAATTTCTTCAGTGGTCCTCAGCTAATATTTTCCCAACATTAAATGCAAAATCATATTCAAGTATTAAACCACCATCTCAATTAATGTGAACAGCATACATTTTCTCTTAGTCGCTCCATTTGTTCTAAAAAAGTCCGAACCTGGACAAACAAAAGTTGAGATTTAGGTATAAAATTAACAATATTTTCATAGTAAAACTCTGTATACTTATCAAGTCAATGATAACCTTTGTTTCTCGAACGTTGCTTACACTCTTTTGCAACTGCACTTGTATCTCTTCTAGTTCTTGAAGCGAGCATGAGCCTAGCTCTTCTCCCGAGAATTTCCTGAGTAATTGAAATTTTTTACAAGAGCAAAACTTTATTTTTGTGATGATCAATCCATTTTCACATCAATTTTAAAGAATTTTTTTTCAAATAATTGAAGTTCAAGTGTTGGCACAGAACCGTTTTGAAACTTCAAGAAGTTGAACCTTCTCCATCATACTTTCTGTTTCTTCCTTTAAAAGCTGCCATTGACAACACACGATACCATTCAAACATCAGCAACAAATTAATACAACAAAAACTAATTTATACACAAAGAAAATGAGGATGAAATGCTGTCGAAACGTTCAAAGCAAATCATAGATTTTTAAAAAAACAATGAGCATTAATTCAGGTGAAATCTCATTTTCACTTAATCTTTTAAAGTCCTCTCCGTCCTTCATAATTATTCAAAATTTTTAAAAAAACCTTTTTCATCAACAAATGTGCTGATTTTTTAATGCGTTATTTATCTACATGTTTGGCCTCGCTTAGGACATGAAATCTTAAGCTTAAGTTCTGAAGAGATGTATGTATCAATCATTGATCCTTCTTTATTTGCTGAATTCATCATTTTAAGATGTTTTCAAGATATTAACTCTATTCTACTTGTAAAGCTCTTTGGGAACTGTGACAATGCCACCTCCTCTATCCATGACACTAACACTGACTTCACAATGAAAGCATCAATGCCATGATCACAATTTTGAAAGATCAAAAGAGCACATACCAAAAGAAAGCCCCTCATCCATATAAACCTTATCTTACTTGTGAGGCTCTCTAATGTAAAACTCATGAACAGCTTAGTGTTGGATAGATCGTGTGTTATTTCTTTGTGCCTTGTTTCTTTGATAAGTACGTAACATTCAGTAGAATGCATGCGCATAATGAAAAAGATAAAGAAGAGGAAAAAATTAAAAACCTGCATGTTTTGTTCCATGTATCTGGTGGCTGTCTGAGCATCTCTCGTATAACTACGATACCGTTCAATTGTCTCTTGCAAGCTGTAGAATCGAAGCAATTAAGTATTTGCAGTAAAAGATATCAGATACGGCCTAGTTAATTTAATCTTTGAATAAATGGTAGTTTCTTAGGGAATGAGAATTATAGTAAAAAAAAAAAATTTACTCCCTTCTCTTCAAAATATAAGGAACTTGGTATTTAATTTGTAAATTTTTTCCATTTTATCTCATTTATTTATTAACCTAAATTCTTGTGTTTGTAAATTTATGACCCATTTTCTCACTCATCATGAATTGGAACCCAAACTATAGAGTGAAAAAAAAAACAATATATATTTTCATGCCAATAAAGATTCTATAGAAAATTCTTTATATTTTGGACCAGGGTGAATACTATTTTCAGAAGTTTCATTAGCCAGTATTCTCAATTTTTTCTCTATTTTCCCTCCATCCAAACGTAAATGAAATTTTGAAATGGACAATAAATTTTGAGATAATCCTCCTAGGTTGGTCATCAGTTTCATTATTTATTCAATATTGATTAAGGTTTATGCATATGATCATTTGATTCGATGGACGAAAAAGTTATAGAAGAGATAACAATTCTGTAATAAGATACCACTTTTTGGCTCTAACATAAATAATCTCTACTAGATGTGATCTGAAATTGAAATTAAGCTATGAAAAAATATAATATTTAGTCTCTATAGTTTTATTAGATTTTGCTTTTAGTTTTTGTAATTTTTTTCAGTATTTTTACTCTCTATAAAGACTAAAACCATTCAAAAAATGAAAATTATAGGGATTTAATTTGAAAAACAAAATTCACTCAATCTTTTTGAAATTATAGAAACTGAAAATACTAAAAAAAAACTATAGAGCCTAAAAACAAAACCTAATAAAACTATAATGATCAAAAATTATATTTTCCCTTAAACTTTAGATAGCCTACAGGAGAATTGTCATTATACACAGGAGACAAAATCTTTGATACAAATGAGATAGATATCTAACTAAAACATTAAGCTCAAATTAATATATTCTTTCTTTTTATTTATAAGTCACTTTCAACATTTTCACCAAAATCAAAAAAAATTTAAACTTTATTAACTCTATCTTAAAATTTAACAAGTTTTTAACTTTACCCTTATTAAATATACCTATTTTAAAAATATAAAATACTCTAACATTTAGTGATTTTTTTAACATTGAATAGGGGTAAAAGATTAAAGATAAACAAAATAATTATTAAGGTGCCCTGTAAATAGTATCAAAACAAATATTTTTTCTCTACCTTATAAATAGGATTAGAGGAGTAATGAACATATGAGTATGAAAGGTCACTTATAATGGTATGCAAAAAATGACAATGGATTGCCATATTACTATATATGTACTGTCAGGTTCATTTTTATATAAATTAGTGAAGTCAATTTTAAGCTTTTTTTTTGTCACAATAAATTCAACTAATTATTATATTTATAATTATAATTGTATTAGTATACAAGAAACCATTAGTGGACATAGTTAACATATATTGACCAGACAGAAACAAAATGCTAAACAGAGAAGAAATTGGCACCTTATCCTGCCATGCAATGCAATGGCTTTCCAAGTTTTTTATTTCATGGAACTGAATAAAGCAAAAATTAAAATTAGATTATAGTAATAATATAAATAAAAAAACATTTTTTACCTTCTCTGAAAAATTAATGAAAAGATACATTTAATTAATTAATGAAATGATACTTAAAAATATATAAAAATATTTATATTCTCTCCATCCTAAATTATAAGATACTTTTAGAGAAGATTTAATGTCCTAAAATATAAGACATTTTATATAAAATAAATTTTTATTAATTATACGTTTTTAATATTACTTTTTATATATTTTATTTTTTTAATATTCTTTTATTAATGTAGTATTAAATAAAAGATATTTTTAAAAATTTATATTTATATTTTAAAAAATAAAATAATAAAATATATTTAATAAATTTTATTAAAATGTAAAATTTTATTTAAAAGTATTATAAGACAGAGGTAACACACTTTTTAAAAGACACCACACGTCACTCAATATCTCAGTTCCTCCCGTCATGGGGAAGTGAACCTACTTATAACTAGAATTTGCTTCCCCACGCGCAAGGCGTTCTTTCTTTACTCAAAAAAAAAAAAAAAAAAAAAAAAAACAAAAAGAAGAAGAAGAAGAAGAAGAAAGAACTTATATTTTTTTAAATCTCAAAAAAAGTCATTACAAACACAAAGTCACAACAAAACATAAAATAGGTCCTGAAGAAGAAGAAGAAGAAAGAAAGAAAGAACTTATATTTTTTTAAATCTCAAAAAAAGTCTTTACAAACACAAAGTCACAACAAAACATAAAATAGGTCCTGACTTATCTTATAATGCTCGTCCTTATCCTTGATATAAAAGAAATTTTATTTTTTATTTGTTATTAATATAAAATAAAATTAGAATAATTATTTTTAGTTTTATTACTTGTCTATTTATTATGGTTTGAATTCTTAAGACAATAATTTATTATAGTTATTAATTATAAAAAATATAAAATTAAAAAAGTACACCATTTTTAATAATTTAAATGATACGTTATTTAATAAGCACATTTTTTTATGATGAACTTAATAAGCACAAAAATGATCAAACTTACCTTATAGTAAAGATAAAAGAGTAAATGATCTTTATGAATTGCAGTGCCCCAAAAAAGTGGAGGAGATATGATACTTTTAATAATGGTGTCTGAATTGGTATTTTGCGGATAAAATAACTCAGTTAGATTGATAAAACCGTAGCAATTTATAATCTGACAAAAGTAGAATTCAAATTCCCACTTCAGTGATAAAGACTTGTTAAGACACAGAATCCACCACCCTTCAGTAGTTGAGTTTACCTACTCGATCCTTAAAAGGAAAATTTCATTATATGATCGCGAGCTAAATCCAAGTACCTTGTTTAGTAAAAATTATTTGTCTAGTAAATGAAAATGATGAAGTTCTATGAAGAGTGATTTAAAAAAAATTATAATAAATATTTGTTAAAATATGTAATTTTGTTTATAAGAAACAAATCAATAAATAATAGTTTTTCTTATATTTAAAAACTGAGAAGATATAAATTAACTAGTAAAATAAGATAATACAGATCATCAAGCAATCACACAAACCGTAACTTTGTGTGTGTGACTGAAGAATATACAACAAACACATATACGTGCCTGGAGCTTGAAAATTCGTACAGCTTGCCTCTGGGGGAGAAGATGATGAGACCAACCTCAGCATCACACAGAACTGAGAGCTCAAAGGCCTTCTTTAACAGTCCATTTCGCCTCTTTGAGAATGTCACCTGCCTGTTCGTCGCGTTCTCTATACGCTTCATCTCCATCTTCCCTCTCACCATCTTTAATATTCTTCAATCCTCTCTGTAAAAATCTAAATCAGCAAATACCTCAGAGAAATTATAGAGTACTATATATATATATATATATGAACTGAAAAGGTATGGGTAGTTTCTACTTTCTGGAGAGATAGGTTGAAATTAATTATGGGAATACATGGGAAGTTCACCAAATTGGGGGGAAAAAACCAGATAACTTGATGCTATGAGTATGAGCAGAAATGGACTGAAAAAAAAAAGAAAAAGAAACAGAGAGTCAGGAGAAAAAGAAAATGAAAGTGAACTTTGAAATCCAAAAAGAGAGAGTACTGTAGAATACCTTCTTAGAACTATGAGCGAACTGGGGAGTTTCAGAAAGAGAAAGAGGAAGCCTAGGTTGCGGTGGAGAGAGGGGTAGTTGCTGTATTTATTATATATAACCCCTAAAATGAATTTATATATGTGACTAGCTTGGAATAAAACTTAAAAAAAATTGTCCAAAAAAACCTCACCACAAATTTATTTGCTAAGAAGGTCTTGGGTAAGATTCTAAAATTGGGTCTTTTGTTGATATTAATTGCTAAAGGTTAAATGATATAAATGCCCTTGCTGTAAAAAAAAGAAGAAGAATAAGCAAAAGGAAAGTAGGGTCCTTCGCTATCAATATGTTACAAGGTCCTTTGCTGTTAATAATTTCATGCCAATACTTAATACAAGGTCCTTTAGTATTAATATATCAAACAATGTCCTTGGGTGGCAATTTAGTAAGCCTTAAAGCACATTTGAAGTAGATGTAATGTTTCTTTCATATATTTAAATATCACTTTTGCATATTTGAATAAATTAAAAAAAATTGCAAGGGTGGTTGCATATGAAGAAAGAAGAATCGCATATGTAATATTCAAATAAATGCAAAAAAGTGATAATTCAAATGTTACTTTTGCATATTCGAATAAATGGAAGAAAAATTATATTTCCTTAACGGTTGGTTACATATCATGAAAAAAAAAGTTGCATATAGTTGAAAATATTTGCATATGGTCCTAAAACACGCATGACATAAAGTGCAAGATTTTCAAAATATCCAAAATGGTTATATGAATAAATGGAAGAAAAATTGTATTTTCTTGATAGGTGATCACATATCATGAAAGAAGATTCCTGAAAATTTGCTCATTCTTTATGAAAACATATATGGATATTGTGAAAATTTGCTCATTTTTTTAATAAAAACACTATTTCAATTTTCTTGATGGGTGATCACATATCATGAACCTATTGCATTTGATGATTTTAGTCCTTATGGACAAATGTCACATAATTATTCTTGTTGGCCAATAATTGTCACACCATATAACCTTCCACTAAGAATGTGCATGAGCACCCCTTACATATTCTTAACTCTTGTCATTCTTAGTCCAAAGAGCCCTAAGCAAAATATAGACTTACACATACAACCTCTAATAGAAGAGTTGAATACATTGTGGAAGGTTGGTGTAGAAACATATAATTCTTTTAGGCAACAAAACTTCCAATTATGAGCTATTGTTGTATCGTCTATAAATGACTTTCCTGTTTATGAAATGTTATCTAGATGGAGCACACATGGTGTTTTATCTTGCCCCATATGTACAGATCAAAGTAAAGCGCTTTACTTGAAAGAAAGGAGGAAGCTATCCTTTTTTTTTTGTTGTCATAATCAATTTTTACCAAGTGAACATCCTTTTTGAAAGGATAAGAAGTCCTTAAAAAAAGGTAAAGTTGAGAAATCATCTCTTCTAAGAAGGTTATCAAGTGAAGAAGTTTATGAAAAAGTGTGTTATTTTCCCTCTAATATAGAAAAAAGTGGGACTAACTTGCTTTCAAGTTTTGGGGATGAACACAATTGGATCAAATTGAGTATATTTTAGGAGTTGTCATATTGGTACATAATCTTATAAGACATAATCTTGATGTGATACACATAAAAAAAAATATATGTTTGATAGCATATTCAACACTGTCATGGATGTCAATGGTAAGACAAAGGACAATGTAAATGCAAGGAAAGATCTTCTTTGTATTGTATTCTTCTAGATTATGAGTTGAAAATAAATGGTGATGGTAAGATTAGCAAGCACTACTATAGAAAGTAAGATAAATGACGGGTCGTATTAGACAGTTATATCTACAACCGTCCAATAAGTGATTATATTGGACGGTTCATAAAATAAGCATATAATATATTAAATATATTGGACGGTTATTATACGAACCGTCCAATATATGTTCAAATCTGTCAACATTTTAAAGTAAATTAAAAAAACAAATTGGACAGTTAATTTAAATAACCGTCCAATAAGATAAGATTATATTGGACAGTTGAAAATTAAATTGTCCAATATGCTCAACTTTAACACGTAAAAAAATTTAAAAAAAATTATTGGATGGTTACTTCAATTAACTGTCCAATAAGTGTGATTATATTAGAAAGTTGAAAATTCAACCATCTAATATGATCCTTTAACCCTTACCCTTTACAGCTCTTCATCATTTTAGCTCTTCATCATCATTTTTGGTGCCCAGATAGCTCTTCATTTTTAGCACTAGTACTCCTCACAAACTCAGAGCTTCTCTTCGCGGCAGCACAGCACCTCTTCAAGCATCCCCCTCCTTAAAAGATCAGGTCACTTCGGCACACCACCCCTATTCTTATAAATAGATTTCAATTTGGTGCCCTCATAGAATCAGTTAGTTCGACACATATCTCCCCCTAAAAATAAGATTTGTTTGGTACATTTTCTCTCCTTTACCCATGCCTTTCTTCTCTTCCTCTACCATTTCTTCACCAATGACGACCTTCAGTGTTGGTTTGCAGTGCTCTCCTCCTCTCCTACGCCCTCTTGTCTGTCCTCAAGTGCGTCATTCCGTAAGTGTTATGCCTCTCTTCTTCTCATTTCTTCTAAATCTTTTGATTGCTCTCTAAAATGACTTAATTTAGTTTTTGTATTTGATTGTTGTCTAGAATACATTGGGCATATTTGATTTTTGATTAGGCTTTATTTTGTTAGCTTTCATTATATTGATTTTGTGTTATTATTGTCGCACACAAGGTGTTCGATGAAATGTTTCATTGAAAAAATAATCTTTGGCAAAAACCCATGTGAAATTTAAGTTATGAATTATTTGATAATGCATGTTAGATTGATAATATATGATTAGATAAGAGTTATATGTAGTTTTTATTTTTTATCTAAATTTATTGTCTAAAATTTTTATGTATTTTTTGTTTGAACAACATTTAATTAGTTTGAATGAAAATTTTTTATCATTTGATTCTTTGATTGATAATTAAGTAGCATATAAAGTTTCATGGTGATTGAAATTGTATATGAGTAATTTTAGCTTACTCAAAATTGTTACTTACATGTAATTTTTAGCTTTAAATAGTATATGATATTGTTTTTTTGATGATGATGATAATGTGATTGAAATGAGGACAAAATGCAAAATGCTTAAGAAAATTTTATTTTTATGCCGTTATGCTGCAAAAATTTCATTTGAAATTATTAGTTTGGCATTTTAAGGCCCTTTTGTTTAAGTGTTTTTTAAATTGAAATGCAATTTTTTTCATACAAGAATTTTTTTTATTTTTTAATAGAGATGGAAATTTTCAATGAAATCATCTTTTATAAATTAATGATATATAACTTTTATAACATGTAGTCTATTTATTAATGTTAATATTGAAATATATATATATATATATATTACTTATTATTATAAGTAAAAATAATTTTTTTCTGATTGTAACCAACATAAAATAATTTATAATTTTTCTAAAATATTTACAAAATAAATCACTTTTTATAAACTCTTTAAAGTTCTTAAATTTTTTTTAATCTTAAACACAGGGGCCGTAATGTTGTTTGGATTATATATATATATATATATATATTCAAATACAATGCCTAAAGAAATTATGAAAATAAATGTCATAAATTATTTATAATTTATAAATAAAAGAATTCACTTGTTGGTGAGTTTTCACATAAGAAATAATACTTACAATCAGTTTAATATAATTGTAAGTATTATCTTAAATTTAATTAACTTAAAGAGGGATGATATGTGTGTGTGTGTGCACGCGCGCGCAAGCATATGGCTCATGATTGATTGAGTTAGTAATTAATATATTTATTAAACTAACTCTTCTAATATGATTGAGTCACTAATATCATTTCCCTCAACTGTTCTTGTTAGATTAAGAGAGATCATGGATAAGAAATGGATGTCTGCGAATAGAGTCACAAAAGAATATGTAGATGGGGTGAAGGAGTTCATTAGATTTGCATTAAAGTATAAGGCAGATCATAATAGCATTATGTGCCATTATGTAAAATGTGGCCTCTTGAAGCGGGTTAATGTGAGCAAGTTGGTAGATCATTTAGTGTGCTTTAGAATTGATTATACTTATACATGTTGGCATAAGCATGGCGAGTTGAGAGATATGACCGATAGAAGTTGTGGGTATAGCAATGCGTATGTGTCACATGATTTCAAAACAAATATAGACAAGGATAATCATGTTGAAGAGATGACAAATGTTTTTGAAGAAGAACTCCAAAATTGTCCAAAAATGCTTGAGAGGTTGAGAATTGATGCGGGGACACCTTTATACACCGATTGCACAGAATTCTTAAAATTAACCGCTGTGCTGAGATTGTTTAATTTGAAAGAAAGAGGCAGGTTGACTGATACAATCTTTATAGAATTTCTTTCACTTATTCATAAAATGCTACTAAATAAAATGCTACTAAAAGGTAATAAGCTTCCAACCCGAATGTATAATGTAAAATAAGTGTTGCGATATGTGGGCATGAGTTATGAGAAGATACATACTAGCCCTAATGATTGCGCATTGTTCAAGAATAGGAGTGTCCTAAATGTAATGCATCGCGTTATAAGAATAATAGAAAGAGTTCGGAGAAGGTGGTATGGTACTTTCCCATAGTGCCTAGGTTTCAATACTTGTATAGCAGTGTAGTAGATTCAAAAAATTTGACATGACATGCAAATGAGAGGATTAGAGATGGTATGCTAAGGCATCCTGCTGACTCTATGCAATGGGAAAAGGTTGATTGAGAGTACCTAGACTTTTCAAAAGATTCTAGAAACCTACACCTTGTATTAGCTATTGATGGAATGAATCCACATGGTATGCAAAGCAATACCCATAGTACATGGCCAGTGATGTTAAT